ATGACCAATGGACAATTATTCCACTAACCAGTGGTGCCCCTTAGGTTGATATCACCTGTTGTGATAACTCATGGTGTCACACACACACCCTTGATCTCCTCCCATTTCATGCCATACAGAAGCCTTAATAGTGCTTTTTTTTTTTTTTGCACTAATGTTACTCATAAGTCATAATTCCCGTATACCAGTGAATGTAATGCTAATAGTTGTGACATAAACAACTAGCAAAATTAAACTTATACCTTCAAATTACAATATCATATGCACAACCTAAATCTATTTACATATACATAGTGAAAATTTGGTTAAAATGTGATGTTTTTAAGAAAACTTTAAAAGAATTTAAAAATTCAAAATCTTAATTTTTAAATTTTACATTAAAATTTGAAATTTTAATTTTAAAAAATCTCTCCTTTCTCCTCCCACTGACCTTCCCCTACTCCCACCATCTCTTAAAGTATTTTAAAGGGAAGCAGAGGAATGCCACAGTCCATTTCTGCCAAAAGGTAGGTGATTGAGGAGCAGTTTACACACACACACCTTAAGGTGTCACCTGCTAAAGTCCACACACCCCTAGTGACACCATTGCCACTAACCTATGTATTTCAGAACAGGAAGATAATGACAAACTGAGTATTCATTTCCTAAGAAATCTTTATGAAATTCATGGGATCACCATAAGTGAACAGATTACTTTAAGGCACATACAAAAACACCTTTGTGCATGTGGGGAGCAGTTTCTGTGTGAGACTTACACTGAACCAGTATTATTAGTTGAATATATTAGCCAGTATGTTTCTGAGCCCAATATAAGGTGTTGGCTTTGACCTTTAATTTAGAATTAATTTTCACTGAGTTCAGTGAGACCTATCTGTGGAGATGTACTCCCAGGTAATTGGCTATTAGCAAGGGGGGGGGGAGTTAATAATGTAGTCCTTCAGAAATGTTTGGACTGCAAGTTTCAGTGGACTTTGCTAGTAGTCCCAATGGTGAGGAATGTTGGAAGTTGTACTTCAAAAACATCTGGAGAGCTTCATAATTCTCACCCTGGGCTATAGTATTGCAGCCTAACCTAATTTGTGTATACTAATATGGCCTCACTGATGCCAAAGGCTTTACTCTAGAATGGAGTAGTGCATGGAACAAAAGCCACACACATCACCCATCTGCTTTTACCTCTCTCAAGATCTCCCCTGCCACTGCCACACTGCCAAAATTTAGGCAGCATGGCCTAAACTTACTTTAATTTAGAAGAAAAATGAAAAGAGGTGCAGTAGTATGTGTGTGCACACACCACCAAGTTGCCTGTCAACCTATGATGACTCTATGGATTTTATAGGGTTTTTTTAGGCAAGGGGATACTCAGAAATGATTTTAAGCCCATTCCTTTCCCTAAAATATAGCCTATAGTACTTGGCATTGATTCACAATTTCCCATCCAAGTACCAACCAGGGCTGACCCTGCTTAGCTTCCAAGATCAGATCTAGTACAATGGACCTTTGGTATCAACTGGGGTTTGATTCCAGGACTCCCCCATGGATACCAAAATCTGTAGATGCTCCAGTCCCATTATATTCAATGGCAGAATAAATTGGTGTCCCTTATATAAAATGGCAAAATCAAGGTTTGCTTTTTGGAATTTACATTTTTTAAAATATTTTCAATTGCAAGATCAGCAGGTCAGCAGTTCGTGGCCCAGACGTGAATTCCCATAACAGCATGAGCTCCCATCACTAGTCTCAGCTTCTGCCAACCTAGCAGTTTGAAAGCACGTAAAAGTACATGTAGACAAATAGGTACCACTTTGGTGAGAAGGTAACGGTGCTCTCTGCATTCATGCTGGTCACATGGCCACTGGAGTCGTCTTTGACAACGCTGGCTCTTTGGCTCAGTAATAGGAATGAGCACCGCCACCTACAGTTGGACACGACTGGACAATCTTGTCAAGGAAAAACCTTTACCTTTACCTTTACCTACAGAGGGACAACTGTACCTTAGGGTATTTAGGCCAGTAGTACAGCAGAAAAAGTCTTTTGAAAAAAAAAAACACTTTTAATTTTAAAACAAAGTATGCAAACAGCATGTATATTGTTTTAAGGACTCTTAGAAGAACTAATCAACTTCAAAACTAAGTGTGCATTCCTCATCAGATTGTTTTAAAGGTAAAACAATTCATTTAATGGATTTTTGCTTGTTTGTTTCCCCCTTTTTGCCATTATGTCTTCCCATCAGGTTTTGGGCAGTATGGAAGTGATGTGTGTATGGGCCTCAGTGAGATGGAGGGGTGGCAGGAACTGTGATTTCTCCCTATGTATTTGTTTTTGCATCTTATATATCCTAGATGTCTGGCATATGTTACAGTCTTCAAATCCTTTTCCTTATGTTTTCAGTTTCCTGGCCGTTCCTCCCATTTCTCACTCCTAGGTTTGGCTGCCGCTGAAACTTTACCTTGATTGAGAAAAGCAGCTTTCACTTCTGATTTTAAGTCTGCAATCCTAATCCTGCTATTAAGCTCCATTAATGGATCAAGGGTGTACACTGTTTTTTAACAAATTGCTGCGTGTGCGCACACACACACAGTCTACTAAGAACTGGCACTGAAACTGAGTTTCAGGCTGCCTTCTGCTGTTCAAAAACATAACTACAGGAGAAGTATTTTGAAATAAATGTGCAAATGCAGGAAAAGAAAAAGTATGAAATGTTAATTTAAACCGAATGCAAATGTTCATATTTAGCTAATTCATATTCCTAGAAGAAACACATCATTTTTGAAAGGCTCGAATGTTAGATGGGGAATGGAGAAAGGGTCTTCTGGAGAGTTATTGCAAACATCTCTAATGATAACAAGAATTCACTGAAGTATAGTAGTACATGAGAGCAATGGATTCTTTATTGATTAAAATATTATCAGGAGGACAAACCACAAAAGAGAATAAAATTGTGGCAAGTAAATATCATTGCAAAAATGAAGTTCTGATTTTATATTTGAGTTCTTTCCCTTCCTTCTCTTTCTCCATGTAATAATAAACAAAACTTGCAAGATATACAAATTTAGGAGTATCAGTTAGGTACATTAAAATCTATCAATGGCAATTTCACTTTTTCATTTTCGAACTGGTGTTATCTTTTTGTCTTCATCCTACATCAGATTAGATGTCTCTCCTCCCTTGTATGGATATAAGTGGGTGTGTTTTCAAGGGTATTTCCCAAAGTATATTCATTTTTAATTTGTTTTCCCACTGTCTAAAGTATATCTGTGTACATGTTTAAATTGTATGCATTTTTCAGTTTGCACACGTGGCACACTTTATTTCTTCTAAGATAAGTCTCAGAAATGTACAGACTTCCTAGACAAAATGTATTTCATTTCACTGACAGCTTCAGAGAGATGCAAAATAAAATAAAATAAAATAAAAATTCAAAAATAGCAGAAAATGAATTTCTCATACTTCTCTAACTTACATTGACTCAATCGTCAATAATTTTCTAGCAGGATAAAAGCTGCATCTTGTTAGACAATTACAATTAATAATCTGATTCCCCCAAACTGGACTCTCTGCCATCATGTTTTCTTTTCAGAAGATAAATTTATCCAGAGAAGACTGAAAGGTTTTAGATGAAAGTTGTATACAACTACCCATCAGCTTTTTAACAGACAGAGCAGCTAGCCTTCTTTAGCCAAAGATGCCCTGATGAAACACTTGTAATGGACATTTGTAATCCTAGTGTTGAAAACATGGTTGAATCTACAGACAGCAAAAGATAAGAAAAGCCTTTGAAAGAGCCTTTTGAAATTGATCAACGTTGACTCTTAACCAATTAGGGTCCAAAAAGAAACAGTATCTATCCAGTAATTAATGCTGAGCATCCTAGTGGTCTCTTCTGATTTATCTATCATTGTGCCAGGATGATAAGACTAAATATTTTATAAACCTTACATCTATTCATTGTTGGTTCTTAATGTTGTTAAATGTAGACAATTCTTATATTTAAATAATTTTAAGCTTCAGCAGCTACACAGCCAGTGTGGTGTAGTGTTTTGGGCATTTGACTAGGACTCTGGAGACCAGGGTTTAAATCCCAGCTTGGCCATGGAAACCCACTGGGTGGCCTTGGGCAAGCCATACTATCTCATCCTCAGACAGCCATGGCAAACCACCTCTGGAGACACTTGCCAAGAGAACCCCATGATAGGTTCACTGCTTTAGGGTTGCCATAAGTTGGAAATTAATTGAAGGCATATAAAAACCACAAGCTTCAGCTGGTACTGATTTGATCATTCAAAATACCTTGACACATGATAGTAGAAGGGGGAAATATTTTTATTATCATTAGAAGGTCATTATCATTAGAAGGTTGTAGACAAACTAAACATTTTATGAGTAAATGTCATTCAGGAATAGATTGGGGAAGCAATTATGGGGTGGGAAATATAGACAAGAAACAACAGGGATTGAAAGTACTAAGTTATAAATGACCAATTACTTGTAATTAATCCTTTAGAATAATAACCAATAACTACATTTTACAGTTATTAATCAATTTGGCCTTACTGTTTTTGTGGTATAACATTTAGTTATTTCTATATTTACAAGGGTGTGATCTCACTAAATGATGGAAGGGGAATAGCTCACATTTCAAATGTGGGCTTGTGTGGTTCCTCATTCTGCTGCTTTGTGTCAATTTCTGGGTGTTGAGTTAATCATGGGCTGGGCAGGAAAACAGCATGTTTTGTACCACAGGAATTTGGCATTCAGACTTTTTTAAAAAAAATCTAAAAGTAACCGTGTCCAAATTCACTTGAGAACTTACATCTTTGTAAGTGGATTAATATCTGCAGGAAATAAAACTGAGCAGATTTGCAACATTTGTATTCAGCTCAAGGGACTGCTTTTATGTTACTAAATAGGGGAGCCAGCAAAGTGATTGTGTGCACCAAGAGCTGATGCTCAATGAGACCCAATGTGCATCAAGACCGATGTGCAATGGGATACTCTTGCTGTGCAATTGACTAACAGGGTTCCTCAGCATCTGTGCTACATAGCTAAGTATGCCCCAAATTATGCAATGTTAGATTTATTTTGAGAAAGGGAGACTTAAATTTTAAATACTTCAACTTAACAGTAACTAACAATTTAGGGGTTTGGAATTATAATAGTAACTAAATTACTTGTTAAAAGTAATGTTACAGCTCTGAGAAATAGCAATATAATTGCTGAGAAGATATTTTGTATCTGATGTTCACTTGTACAAGTAACACCTCCTAACAATTTTTTTTAAAAAAAACAACAACAGTATTTATAAACCACAGTGCCTAGCTGGTATTTCTACACCAATAAAATTCCCTTCCTTACCTTTGAATCATATCTATAATTGTTTTAATAATCAAAGGGGAATACTGGATACCCTTGTATGCTTTCATGTAGTTTCTTTTATGAGCCAGTGTGCGGTGTAGTGGTCAAATGCCTCACTAGGACTGGAGCAATTATGGTTCAAGTTGCAACTCAACCGTACAATTCAGTGGGCAACTTTGAGGCAGTCTATTCTTAACCTACTTCACAAAGTTTCTGTGATGTTAGATTTTGGGAGGGGTGGGGAAGAACAATGTATTCCACCTTGAACTTGTGTGATATAAAACAAAATAACTTTTGTTGTCTATAAAATAATAATTAACCATGACTTTTACAATGGTAGAAAAAAGTGTTGTGGGAAAATCACAGGTAAGCCGTTACCTACCCTTGGCATAGTCTACTTGTGCCAGCCCAGAATCATCAAATCCCACCCAAGAAGTCTTGATTACTATTTTATTTTACTGTAGATGCTCTTTGCCACCCAGACAGGTTGAGGTAAACTGTAAAATCGCCCTGAGGCCATTGCAAATTGCCCATCATTGCCCTTTTTGAGTGAGAGTGTAGCAGAGCAAATACAATGTATTTAGGTCTAAAGCTATTTAGTGCTGTCTGTCATCACTCTGAGGAACCTCCTGCAGGAAAACGTGTGCCAAACATGTGTGGGTTTCCTACCTCAAAGTGCTGCCTGACCTGTCAGTTATAATAAAACAGGCTTAAGACCTTGGGAGGCAAATTGCATACTGATTTTGGTCTTTCAGTTCTGACAATACAATGGCTGCTATATGAGCTTTATTAAACCCAGGGAGCCAATCTAACTCACACCAAAAAAGACAAGGCCCTGAGGAATAGATGCCAAACCATGAACTATCTGACAAATGGACAGGATCCTTTTAATATACGTAGGCTTATTTAAAAGGGTTTCTTTGCTGTTTATATCCCTATTTCATATTTTACCATGTTTTATTTATACACACACACAAATCCAGAGGTTTGGTTTATTTGCTTTAATCACACTACAAGAGAACGTAAAGCCCTAATTTAATGAACAATGTGGGACATCAGCTGCACTCAACTTCATGCCTGACATGCTGACAGGAAGGCTTCAAACATTATAGTTCTGTCAAGTTGTGCCAAAGGACTGCACAACTCTTCCTTCTGTTGGGCCCACCATGTTCTGCATGCATCACAGAAGGTGCCTCAGTGAATTCTGAATCTCTTGCTATGCCTTTGCTTCCCACAACCTTCCCACACCAGCAGCCTTCCCACACCAGCAGATTTCTAGAATTTCTACTCAAAGAGACTCAAGAGATATCCAGCTAGCCAGATTTGCTTCACATCCACTCTCAGTTAAGACAAGCAGATGCTAACAGTTTTAACTGTTGACCTGATCTGGATTTGGTTTGGTGACCTGGGGTGAAAAAGCAAGATCTGGTATCATCTTACCATTTCGTTGACATCTTTCCCTTTCTTTCCATCCTTTCTTTCTTCATTGTTTGCCATTTCTATAAAAGAAAAAAAAATGGAGGTATGAAAAGGCAAGAAAAAAAACTGTCCCTTTGAAAGTATATGGTATGTATTATAAACAAACAAGAATAAATCAGTATAGTGGAATTTGGACATTATATTCCACAGCTCTTCAAATGTTCATTTTATGGTGTGTGTTTTTTTAAAAAATAAGCTTTACAGTGGTGATAATGTCAAGCTGTAATATTAACAATTATAAACAAGCTCCATTCACACATGCCATTACATTGAACAGATTTTTAAATAGGGTTCCCAAGTGTTAGGGCTTGGCATCCTCTTTCAGGCCTCAGGGCAAGGTGAGGAATCATAGTCTAAATGTTTCTTTGGGAAAAAATTCTGTGTTTGTGGCTGCTTTGGAAGTTTGGAGTGGTTGCTGTAAACTTTCAAGGGGCAAGTCATCCTTTTCAATCCTCTAACTCTCAAAGTTTCCTAACCCATGGCCAGCACCAAGACTCACAGGAAGAGATTGGTTGTTGTTAGTTGCCCTTGAGTCCGTTCCGATTCATGGCGACCCTGTGGAAGAAACATCTCCAAGAATCCCTATTTTCCACTGCCTTGACTAGATCCTGAAAGCCCTTGCCCAAAACGCCCTTGATTGAGTCTATTCATCTGGCTTGTGGTCGTCTTCTCTTTCTTCTACCCTCTACTTTTCCTAGCATTATTGTTTTTTTCTACTGATCTGTGCCTTCTCATTATGTGGCCAGAGTACAATAGTCTTAACCTGATCATCTTTGCTTCCAAGGAGAGCCCTGGTCTGATCTGTTCAATAACCCATTTATTTGTCGTCTCGTGTATTGCCTCCAGCATCTTTTTATTTCTTCTTGTTCCTGTATTTATGTTTGGTTTTTTTTCTCTATAGAGCATCCCTGCCCTCAGTTTGAACTTGGCTTTAATTTCTTGGGTTTTGTTTTTTTTAAATAGAGGTCTATCGTTCTTCCCTTTTGGTTGTTGTCTTCTATTTCTCTGCATTGGTCATTGTAGTATTTCTCCTTATCCCTGCGTGTCAGACGTTGGACAGTTGTGTTCATACTTCTGCCTTTGTTCCTATCTCCCTTTGTTTTTGCTTTGTTTCTTCCTTTTATTGCATGAAGTGTTTCATCTATCATCCATTGTTTCTTATCTTTCTTTTTGGCCACTGTTAGTGTTTTCTTGCATTTGTCCTTAATTATGTCTTTGACATAACCACAGTTCTTCAGGTTCCTGGTTGATTATACTCAATAGTTCAAATCTGTTTCTTACATAGTCCTTGAATTCATCTGAAATGTTATTCATGTCATATTTGGTATAATGATGGTTTTTCCTTTCTTCTTCAGCTTAATTCTGATTTTTGTTATGAGCAGTTCGTTGTCTGTGCCACAATCAGCTCCAGGTCTAGTTTTGGCCACAATGATAGAGTTTCTCAATCTTCTACTTCCAATTATGTAGCCTATCTGGTTTTTGTGTTTACCATCTGGTGATGTCCAGATGTATAGTCTCCTATCTGGTTGTATGAAGCAGGTATTTGCAATGAATACATTATTGGCCTCACAGAATTCTATCAGATGCTCCCCTGCTTTATTTCTTGTTCCTAATCCAAATCTTCCTACTATTTTAGAGAGATTGGTAAGCAGAGGGAAATACTGTGGTGCCCTGTTATTCATTGCTTCAGCAGTTGATGAATACTATACTATAGGCTTGCTGGTATGTAGCTTTTCCTATCTTACTCTTTGCCAATTCTGATTCACTTTTGCCAATTCTGATTCTACCCTTTGTCTAAATGGTTGATGTCACAATACATTTTCTTTTTCTGTTCTGAGGCACATATGGGTAGTACCCTTGTTAGCAAAAAAGCTTGGCATCGGTATCTTTCTTCTTCTGCTATGCTTATGTCCCCTTATTCCTTTCTCTTTTTAATTCTTGATTTCAATTATCTCTCTTTCTAATTTTTCTTTTTATTACCCTACCCACCCCTAGCTAAATGTCTTCTATCTGGTATCATGGGATACCGTTTCCTGTGACATCACGAGGAACTGTCCTTAGGTTTTGGCCCTAAAATCTCAGGGCTCCTGACCTTGCAGGTCTGTTTTTCTACTATTTCAGCTATTGAGACATCTTTATTTTCACAGTACTCAGGAAGCCTAAATTAAGAGACAGTGAAACCATCTGCCAAGGAAAGGGGGAAGAACAGACATATTGGCGTCATGATCGCTGATCATTCCCTCCAAAGGGAGAGCTGCA